TCTAGAAAACTTTTTTCTAGGAATCGTGGTTCTTGGTTCTTGGTTCCTAGGAAATGCTGAAATTTCAGTAAAATACTGAAATTTCAGTATTTTTCAGGAACCAAGAACCAAGATTCTTCGAAAAAACTTTTCTAGAAATCTTGGTTCTTGGAAATATTGAAATTTCGGTAAAGCACTGAAGTTTGATTTTTTGCGTCTCTCTATATATATATATACTTTTAGATGGTATCTTTACGCATGCTATCAACAAAGGTGTCGTAATCACGGAGCTCAAGCTCCAGCTGACTCTATTGAATTTCTTCGGGATCAAAAGACACACCTGCAAAAAACTAGCGCTTCCACTTCTTTCAAGTCAATTGCATATCTCTTTTATCTTCATTATGGAGAAGAGACTTCTATTCCGTTCGTAAGACCTCAGGTTTAGTTCTACCGGTAGCCTACTTAGCGAGTTATTTGTTGCGAAATTGTCTTTGCGCTCCTGGGCTCNNTATAAATTCCTTACTGTATATGCTGAAACTTTAGATACAAATTCTCAAGTCTTGGGCTTCTTCTTCTGGTTTTAAGCCGCTTTTCAGGAATATTCCCAGGGTCTCCAATGGGTATTTTCGACGTCTGACACGCAGGAAGATGAGGGTTATAGAGGTAGTGGAATATATAAATCCTAATGAGAATTGAGCCCTACGTGGAACCATTGGTACCGAAGCTACGAAAAGTAGCGGCTGCGGTTCGTGTAATTTCTGTCATACAACATGTATTCCATTTTGTAATATGTTTTATAAACATGATGCTACATAACATGTATTCCGTTATCTAATATCCTTTATACATATAATGTTATGTGTTTCGAAACATGTGGGTTGTTTCGAAACAGGTGGGGTAGACCGTTGGACAATTGAGCCGTTAAGACAATGGTTTTCGCCATACGAAAATCCAGCGAACCATTAAAACCATTCAGCCATTAAACCAAGAAACCATTAAACCACAACACCATTAAACCATGAAGCCATTAAACAATTGTGTTTTTCTTTATGGAAAGCCATAAATGATGTAATGGTTCAATGGTTCACTGGATTTCCATATGGGAAAAACAATCGGTTTAATGGTTTGTTCGTTTAACGGTTTGATGGTTTAGTGGTTTACTGGATTCCCATATGGGAAAAAATGGTTTCATGGTTCAATGGTCCAATGGTTCAATGGATCTCCATAAGGGGAAAACCATTGGTTTAACGATTCAATGGTTTAATGGTAATGTTTGGGATTTACAACTTAGGCATAGTTGCATAGTACTTAAGGTAGACAATGGACTTTTTGGAGCTGAAGAAAGGTTAGTTCATGACTTGTAGGGTTTATTCTATTTGGTTTCAGGATTCGAGAGGGCTTTCTCGAGATTGCGTCAGGGCGTAAATATCAGAAGAACAAAAAAGGCAATACTTTGGATACATGTATTTAGCGATTCTTACTGTAGATTCTGCTACTTATCAATATTCATAGGGGGGTTCTATGTTATGTTAGGACGTAATAATTAGGAAGCTAATTCGATAATATTCAAGCCATACCAATGAAGTGTAGGAAGGGCTATGGAAGATTCTTGTGATTTTTCTGTTAAGTTGTCATATTCAGAAATAGGATTGTGAGGATATGTTGGGGTGCAGATTCAAAAGCGACCTTGCATAATACTTACGGTATGCTATGGAATATCGGATCTCAAGAAGGGAAATACGCTAAGTACATGGTTCGTAGGGTACATTCTATTGGGTTTCAGGATTTCAGAGGCACTTCTTGACGTTGCGTTATGGTGTAGATACTAGAAGAAAATATTGGTTACTACTGTGGATGTACTATGGAGTTTCTAGAACTCAGCAAATCAATTTAGAGATTCTTGCTGCATAGTTTGCTACTGTAGTAGCTAGTTTTCCAACAAAAGTTATGTTAGGATGTAGGAGGCAGGTAAACTAATTCGACATTACTTAAGCCAGGCTATGGAAGTTTCAGAGTGCAGTAAGCCCAGTCTCACGCAATGCTGTATTCTATATAATTTATACTGTAGCAAAAAAGGCAGAAAATCAGTCAAATTTACTGCGCAGGATATGATTTGCTGATAAAACGTAGGTTTTAGGGGGGGGTGCATATATATATATATATCCCGCTTTAAGGAGTTTAGACTACAGCTTTGCCGATTGCAAAGAAGTACATGGTTGTGTAAATGGCTCAGCCCCTGACCAGCATCAACCTCCACACTTCGCACCTGGCTAGTGCGACCTAGTTCTGCACATGCAGGCATCGGCACTGAAATAGAATTGGCTTCAAACCATCGAAGACACTGGATTGCTTTGAGCTGGGCGATGCAAGGGCTTAGCTGCAAGTATGACTCAAACCAACATCGAATCACACTCTGTGTGGCTTATGACCCAAGGAATACAGTGTGACGCTCAGCACGCGAGCCTCAGGCACGATGGAGATGACCCCTGGCTTCACCGTCATCTTTACATCGAAATCCCCGAGAGTCCTTGAATAGCAAAACCAAGGCCAGGGTGGCTCGCAATGTGCCAAATAGCCGTGCGTGTCAGGACGGAATGGAATACGATGCTGCAACACGCAGGATCATGGAGCGCAGTATACTTTACAATCGAGTTTTTCAGTTCATGGAGCTGTCCTGGAAGGTTCCAGGCCCTCGACTCTTCCGTCTATGACCTTAGACAATGGAAGTCTCACCATCAGCCTACAACAACGCAAGCTTGCTTTGCTTCGAGATTTACAGTGGCTAATGTTTGTTGATGCGCTTTGAGGTAGAGATGGTCATGGCCTGAAAAGTAAGCTGGCGACGGCAGGCCGTTCAAGTGCTGAACTGTTGAACTCAAATCCCTGTTCTTTCTCGCAGCCAGCCTACTCATTCTTTGAAGCAGGGTCTGGGAGTCGCCTTGCCAAAAGATGTCCTGTGGCTCCACGGCAGGCCAACCTCTGCCCCTTCAACCTTGCCAGAGGGCAAGCCTGCGTCCTGACCACATTCGCCTAGCAAATCAGTCCGCAACGTTCGTGTCTCAAAGAGACTACAAATCTTGGAACTCCTTCCGCACGCCACGCTAACTGAGGAAACCGTGCCACTCTTTCTCCCCCGCCCAAGTCTTGGGGTGTGACTGACCAAGCTTAAATCACATCAAAACAACCGCGATCTGGCCTCAAGTGCTTGCTAAATTCGCTCAACGAGAAGTAAGGACTTGCGATGCAACGTCCACGGACACGGTCGGCTGATGCGGCTGTGAGCTATCGGCAAAATCCACAGGTTGAAATCTCATCTCCAAACTAGACCCTTTGTTTTTGGATTACCCCCTTCGTTTTGAAGTGTTACCATTCACTTTTTGGGTTACCCCTTCGTTTTACAGGGTTTCGGTACGATATCGCCCGATGAATTTGTCTGAGGTGCAGCATTTTGCCTGTCACTCAAGTGAATTGGCTGCATGTATTTGCAAGCTTGATGCACGCCAAGCTCAGCCCAGCCCAAGCCCGTCACAGATCCACCAACCGCCTCGATTCTCTTCTGCTCTATCGGGCAGCTGGCCTTCCAAATTCCAGTTCTTGCCTGTGACTTTTACATGCCTCCAAGCTAGTCGTGGCCTGATGGATTGGAACACTACGGCACAGAGACCGGAAGCGCCTTGTGGTCGCGGGATAACCACATAAGGACTTCTGCCTGAGTATCGTTGACCACATGTGCATCACACAGATGTTCACCATTGCACAGCTGCGGCCTTAGCTGCGCCGCTCGCCGTGGCAGATGCCTGCATCGACAAAAAATGACAAAAACATTTTGCGAAAGTACAGCTCTGTAAATGCTGACGTCGCGCAGACACCAGCGAGTATTTGCACACTACATGGTCTTCTGCTGTCCAACATGTAAAAGTGTACTATCAAACAGCATGACGCACGGAAACTGCGGAAGCCAGAAGAACCACTGAGTCCGTTTTTTAGCCCACTTCACCCAGAGCCTCAAGCAGCACAAGGGCTGCCCGGCAGTCGCCGAGGTTTGCGCACCAGACACGGCCTGGGCAGGTTGTTTGGCTGCATTCGTGGGAGCACGTTGCAACATGATGCACTAAGGAAGCATACGGCATGCATCCACCCCGTAGCTGGATTCTACATGAGCTACTAGTAGCTCATCTGAAGAGCAGCATCTTGAAAAAGTCATCATACAGCACGAAATACAGATGGTCGAGCGAACTAAGGCATCAGGCCCGCAGCAATTGTGCAGCTGTTCACACACCTTAGCGTAGAAGTCAAGTTTTGTCATGTGTTAGCAAGGTTGGTTCTCAAAGCCTGCAAGCCTCTCGAACCTTCTGGCCGAATGCACAATATCTCAGCATGAGGTGCGCGCGTACCAGCAGTCGCGTGCTCATTTTTGAGTCTTTCTTCCATCTCAGCCATGGCTTCCATATAGGCCTTGCCAACGCAGTGGACAAAGCGCTGACATGGTCCTCGTATGTCTTTCTGAACCCTCACTGCATACACAGAAGCGTAACCTTCAGTTGGAAATCTCATAGCTTATGTGTTGCCAGTCCCTGCCTGGCTGATTGGAAGACCTTCCTGGCGAAGTTTGGGATCACACATTCAGAGACCCTGCTGGTTCAAGCGGGATTGATGAAGTCATCATGTTTATCCAGAGTAGTCATGTGCTGAAAGCAATGTTATGTTCTGCATCCTGACTCAGCAACATGATAGAAGAATACATAAATGTGAATACATACACAGGAAGGGAAAGAATAGAGGTTCAGGGAGAAAACTTGAGCTCTCACATGTTACCAGCGGGAGCAGCGTCATCGACAGTTGTTTGTCGACAAGCTCGGTTGCACGCATAAATGACTTACATAGCGCCGAGTGGTCTAGTGTTTTCATGCCGCATGGAACAGAACTGCAAGTTCAAGGCAGGTGCTCATGCAGCTATGTTCTTGCTCCGAAGATTTGCAAGCTGAGCACGGAGTTCATGTAGATGCATGCTGGCTTCAAGTCCGATCTTCAGAGATGTCTGCGAAATAGCTGCATCAGCGCTTTTGCTCGTAATCATGTGCAAAGCATTTTTTGCCTTGTGCGTACCAAGATGTGAGAGAGGCGATGTCTCGTTCTTGTTTGCTTGGCAGGACTGCGTGCAGCACGACAGCTGTCAGGAGGATTGCCAGCAAGCTTCAAGCGACAAAATGGACGCTTCCTTGGCACCTTACTGCAGGAGCTTGTAGGGCTGTCCGCGGAGTTCAGGCGTGTCTCACGTGGGTGTCTTTGCCACGTAAAGAATTACGGCAATGGGCAATGTACAGCGGATGCAAGAGGCTAAGCCGCAGTAAAGCGGCTGGCTCGCCATGGCTCACCAGGCCACAATAAACATCCATGCGTGGAACCTTTGAGCTACCTGGCCCCTAAGTCAGGGCGCTCACAAACAACGTACGCTGGTTCAATGGAGAATCCGCGTGGCGCGGCAACGCTTGAGCGCGGACGAGCGCGGGTATCTGCAAGCAAACGAGCGGCATGCAACAAGCTCAACACATAGTTGACTTGGTGGGCCATTGAAAGTGCAGTGGAATGGAGCCTCATCAGGCTTGAATTTCTCAAGACTTCGTTGGAGAGTGTGCAAGGCCTCTTGGCAGCCCCTGGTTGCTCTGACGCCAACACCAGCTCGTTCCCAACACAAGCGCTTGAACCATCTCGGTTTGGGGTCAGGGCGTGAAAGGTCATGTGGTTGCCCGTCATGAACAAGCTTAGGAGCGTTGCAAAGCGGTGTGCAGGAGGGCCAAATGATGCAAAATGAGTAGAGTGGGTGCAGAGGACCTTGCTTCAATGTTTGGCTCTGCTAACTAACATCTTTGTGAGTTGCAGGCGAGATTGTTTGTCGACCTGCCTGTGGCCGAAGCCAAGCTCTGCGGAGGTCGCCAACTGCAAAGAGGCAGCAGCAAAGGTAAAACCCGCGTGGGTTCTTGCAAGCCCAACTGGTTGAGCATCCGCACAGCAAGGTCGACCGTTGCATTGCATCATCCCACGGCAGCGCAAACCAGGCTGGAGAGCAGCAGAATGCCTGCCCTTTAGCTGATTTTCACAAATCGATTCGCCCTAACACAGGAAGGCCTTGCAAACCGGGACAGGGTGACATGAGGCGGCTGCTCGAAATTGAAACTCCTTGGAAGGATCTGGCTCGCAGTCCGGAGGCATGAGCAAACTGGAAGCATCGTGTTGCCTCTGGAAGCAGCCTTGAATCGAAAATGGCAAGGCATCTTCGAAATTCCACCCTATGACCGCGCTGAATGCTTGTCACTGAAACAATGCCCTTTGCTGCGATTTGCCACGTTTCAGTCCAACACCTGAGAAGAGGGCCACGAAAGCTAGAGGCAGAGGCAGCAGTCGAAGGCACAGAAGGAGCCATGCAGTTACAGGGCTGAGATCTTGAGCAACAGCAGGAGGAGGGGCCCTGGCCGGGCCAGGGGTGTGTATCTGGTGGGGGGAGGGAGTCAATCAATTCTTCGAGGCTCTTCGCGGGGCTTGCTATACATCGGGGTGGGCTCATTAATGATGCAACTCCAGGACCACACCAGCAAAAATTGATGCCATGCACCTTCATAAAAACTGTCGGGCAAAACTGTCTGCTTTGCTCCATTCGTAAGTCATATATGTCATGTCAGGCTGGGGATTCACGTGCCAAGTTAAAAGCGATTCCATGGAAAATCTTGCCTTGCTTGAAAAAGTTATGTATTGATTTAGGTTTATGGGGGCTCTGATTCCAGTGGGATGATGTGGCCACACCAAATCGCCGGTGATAGCCTCACCTCACAACAGCTCTAAGTCAGTTGAGTTGCCTTCATCCGCCTGCCGACCGCAACTGGAAGCAGTTTCGCGACCTGTCAACCATGGTCACTTGCGATCCAAAGACTGGGAAGTCAACCTGGGTCTCCAGCCAAGTCGGATGCGGAGTCCGTGTCGTGACCGTCTAGGACGCCCACCTTGACGGCTCCACATCTCAAGCGTTATGGAGGTAGTGCGTATAGGCTCCGGGCTGTGTGAAACGGAATACGAGAATCTCCAAGGCAGTCGTGAACTGCCATGCATCGGTCCTGCGTCTGACAACGTATATTAGATCCTCCTACCTGTCACAGAAGGGCACCCAAGGCTGCTGACGCTTGACAGCGTCGTCTGAATTTCGAGGGGCCGCCTGATTTGGTTCGGGAGATGAATGAGGCTTTAGAAGCTCTGAAGCTAGTGGCTTTGGAGCTTAGCCCCGAATTTGAAGCTTTTAAAATTTTGGCTTCGCCTGAAGCTCTGAAGCTAGCGAAGCCAGTGGCTTCGGAGCTTCACGCTTCACAGCCAAAGCTCGTCCGAACCACCCCTGGCGTGCATGGCCAACATACCCACGATATCCACCAGTCCGCTCACAAGTTGGGTGGTAGGATATACCGGACATGACATCTTCAGGAAATCCTAAGGGCTGGGGGCTTGCAACTAAGGCCCCAGGATAGCTGTAAGTAAGCGTTTTTGGCTTTGGCAGCCCGGGCTTCTCAATGATCAGCCTTTGTCGGGAAGTTTAGGTCCCTAGGCAGGGCGTTCACCAGACATCACTACTTTTGCCAGAGCACGTGGGTTGAGGTTTGACACCCACTTGGCATACCCAAACTCCGTTTGGGACCTTTGGGTCTTTTTGGGTTCAGACATCACTTGTCTCTGGAGTCGGGGCTGACCAGCTTTGCGGCTACGGCTGTCCAATTGGGCTCTTTTTTTGGGGATGCGCTAATGGACTCATCAGACACGCCCCATCAGCTTGATGTCCTTGGCTGTGGTGAGATTCTCCGAGGTTCAACCCGATAGTGTCTCAAACTGCACATCAGCTATATGCTTTCTTGCGGCTCAGTGTCTAGGAACTGGGGGTTTGCTACTGCTGTTGCTGTTCTTAGTGGGTTGAGGCCACAATGCCCGCAGCATCAAGATGAGACACCCCTCGCTCGACATGGATGCCCAGGATGAGGTTGCGCATGGCTTGCTCCACGGATGTTTTTTATTGAGCGCCCATTGCTTGTTTGTTTTCATTTGTCCTCAAGTTGCGCAAGCAAAACAAGCCAAATTCTGCTCCCTTCTACAGGGGCTACGTTACTTGTGAGCGTTATTCCCTGATCTCACGGAAATCTGCTGCATGTTACCCAGGCGTTACATAAGGGCTCCGCTGGGGAGCTTGCTATCTGCTTTGCGAGGTGCAAACCGCAATTGTTCAATTCCATTTTCCACATTCCTGTGCTGGACCCCGTTCTTCATGAGGCATACTCAGAGCTCTCAAACCACTAAGATGTGGCACTGTGTGTAAAGTTAAGCAGATACAAGGTGAGGAATACACATGCGCACGTGTGCACAGTCTGCATGCATGTGTGTGTGCACGTGTCCAAGTCCCAAGGGGCGCAAGTACGGAATAGTAAAACATGATCAGATTCAATACGGAACCAGCTTACTTCACTTACGTCGTATTTCAAGACTTCCACCAACCCATCCAAATCGACAACTTCCAAAAGTAGAGACACCTAACTCTAACAATCTTCAACATTAGTCGGATTTCCAATTTGGAAAATGAAAACGAATCTTGGTGCTACCAGTCTTCTCGGTACTTAGATGGGTTACTACTGTTTTTACCCTTAAGAGTACCCCTATGGGTGGAATTAACACTACCAGTGTTGAACCAATGCCAGTCATAGGTCATAAGCGTCTTGACCTTTGTTGGTACTGTTTGCGCTGTTCTTTACAACTGGCAGAGCACTACCGGTATGACAACTGAGAATGATGTTGGTGTTACTAGAGACTTCATGAAAGGTGGGATTTCTTAGTCATCCAGCTTCAGAAAACAAAGAAATTCATGCAACGATGTTCCCATCTCATTCCCCACTCTTGGGGCTATGAGATTTTGAGAAGCCATGTCCTTCTTGCTCGATCACACTTCCCTGGAACACCCAACCAGCTTCCTCATACGCTCATTCTGGGGTGTACCTGTCCTTCTAGAGTGCATGTCTTCAGGTTCGTCTAAAAGCTGCAGTATGAAAGCCGGGTCGATGCACGAGGTAAGTCAACTGAATGGACAGCTTCGTTTATTTTTTTCTGACGGGGTGCCTGAAGCAAATCGATACCTAGGGTGCTTCGGAGGTCTGAGAGAAGCATCAACGATGGTGTCTACCTTTTGGCATAAATATCTGTCTATATTGATATACAAGCATCAAGAACTACTAAGGTGTGTGAAAGGAAGAGGGAGAGGGGCCCTCGAGCCGAAGCCCTGCAGATTGCTCGAATGGTTCGCTGGCATTCTGGCAAGGCACTCCTCGTTCTCATGCCTGCCGCCCCAGTTCTTTGCTGTGTGCGTTGCCACCTTGATGCAAGTCAGAGCTCGGCTCACGCACAGTGAGCATGGGGCAGTAATACCACATCCATGATACAACGTAAGGTTGCTGCCTCTACTCTACATCTGAGAGGCCTCTCTTTGTGCACCTGACAGAATCTTGTCAAGCAGGCAACTGGTGAGCCGCTGTCGCGCTGTCCCCGGCAGATTACTGATATTACTGAGCAAGCTGCCTCTAAGAGCTCATGGAGCCCAGAGGGGCTGGATGCCGCTGAGACCAGAGGAGCTTCTGCCTTTGGAGCTGACATGAAGTAGTCTTGCCAACGCCCAACTGCTGTCATGTGCCCACACTTGCCTTCAACTACCTTTGCGTTTGCAGCGTTGCTTGCAAGACATGCGCAGATCGCAGACCCAAACGCAGGCCGTGGGAGAGGCTGCATGAAGGGGTCCCAGGTCCAGTTAAGAAATCCAGGGGGCATCGATATAACAGACATTCAACAGACCTGGTCAGGAAAGTCTTGCTTTCATTCAAACGATTCATATGACAGCTTATCACTCTCAATGCATAGCGTCTTCCTGAACACCAACAAGAACATGTTGGATCTTCTGGGCCTTGAGGACGTTTGAGGAACGCTGCGATGGGCTGTTTTTTCAGCTTTTTTGCAGTGTTGCCACCGCTGCAAGTTCAAGCGCATGGAATGTTTGAACAGCTGCACACAATGGCACAGAAAGGAGGAGTGGCCACTGCTGTAATTGACGTTGCTGAAACGTTGGAAAGCTGCATGCAGCGTATAAGTCAAAGTATTCGGAACAAGCGCCTTATTTTGGTCAGAGAAGAAAACAACAATCGCCAGCAACAAAAGCAACATCGATTTCACCTCTTCAACCAGCACAAACCTACCTGCACAAGCCATGGGCATTCGGCAGGCCTCCACAACAAACCCCGGATGCACACTTAACCACGTAGACTGCACATCACATGCTGTTGCTGGCATGTACAGCAAGTACTGTACCTGTTTTTGGTGATGCGTCGACGCTCTAAACTCTGAGTGTTGCCTGAGCTCGGCAACTAGAAGTGGATAAGCTCAATATGCTCAATCCTATGCAAGATTCCTAGGCAGCGCTTGCACCTGAGCCCTCAACTTCTGGCACAGGGGCAGCCTTGACTGCAGGCTGTCGGCGTCCGACAAACCTGCATAACTCTGAGTCGAACATTTTGTTCTGCCATGAGCTTGCATGCCAATGTTCTGCTAGTTGCTAGTCTGCCACATCTCCATGCTTCGCACCTGCTTGAAGGCAAAAAGTCCTTTACACACCGGTAGAGCTGACGGGCTCAGCATGCCCGCTTGTCTGGCATTGCAAACGCGCCTGGAGACCATTCGACTTGCCAGACCCTGCTGCGTCTTTACCTGCAGCTCTGCTGTTGCCAGGCTTATCACATACCACTGAAGAAATTTCTCAACAAGAGCCTGTGCGCCATGCACAGCCCCGGAAGAGTCCGGGGCTGGCAACTGGGCCAGAACGTGGCACCTTGCAGTATGCTTGTTTGGACCGGACGGACGTGTACAGAATCGAGCTTGGAAGTAACCTGTGAGTTAGCAACATTCTCAGATCGTCATGCCGAAGCTTGCTCACACATCTTACGCTTTGTCACGACATTTCTCGCACACCAAATCGGCTTAAACTACGGCACCGGGACGACACACTCGTGCTTAGGACATTACGGCGGGTTGGCCACGTAGGTCGGCAATGCCAACTCTTTTCGAACTCCGAAAAAGAAAAAAAACATGCAAGAATCGTTTCTGGGGTGTTTGTAAGTCACGAATAGTCACGACGCACCTGCAAGGCTTTAACCGTGCAGGGAAGTGGGGCGTCCTGCCCAAGAAAAAGCAACAGCGGTGTAGCTGGGAATAGTCTGGGAATTGAACTGCGGGTTTTGCTGAAACAGACGACACGCGGGACCTGCCTTGCGCGTATGGGGTCTTTGATGCTTTGCTTTGAATAGCGTTTTGCTGCAAAGTGCCCCGTTTATCCTGACAAGAACAGACCGACTTGGGACAGAAGCTTCAGCAAATGCTCTCACTGCACATCAACCTTCAAACCTGCTGGAATGCTTCGTGCGGCACGTGCCGGAGGGCAGGGCGCTAAAAATTTGTTCCCAGAAGTACTTGAGCCAGAATGCACAGGAAGCTTGCACCTCTTGTCAGGACATTTGCGGCTTTCTGACGGTGCATGATGGGCACATGCTTCGCACAACGTTCCACTGAAAATGTGCAAATATGCGCAAACAAACTCACACTCGCTGCAACTTGCACATGCGCAGTCTCTTTTGCGATGTTTATTTCGTGGCGTTGCTGCCCAAAAATTTCCGTGGATGTCCTTCCTGCAGCCATTTCGTGGCAGTGAGCATATGCAAGAATTTTTTTCAAAATCCAAACAACATGCGCCTGCATTCGCGTGCTACCAGGTTCCACCAGTCCCTGCAGTTCCAGATGAAACCTTCAAGGAGCGGCAACCGAAGCAAAACAATGCAAAGTGACCATGTGCGAGCACCGACTTGTGCCCTTGACTGGGCTTGCTGCTGTGCTGCCATAGTCCTTGCACAAACTTCCGCACTGCCACCCCTGTGCTTCACACACTCTTGAAAGGATAATGGCTGTCTGGGATGAGTGTGGAGAATCATTGTTACGGGCTAAATAAAGAGAACTTCTATTTACAAAAACAATCGTATTCGCAGCATTTTCCTTCAGTGCACACTGCCTGCATGGCCTTTTAGCACCAATTGGAGAGATGCCTTATGATGCCTTGGCCCGTGCCCATAATTGGGGTCGAATACCTGATAGTGCACTTCGATGCCTTGGTCCAAACAGTTCCACGAATATGTGGCAAACAACTGCACCATGCATACCACTCGTGCTAGATGTTGTCTTTGTCTCGGATCCACCGAGTGCATTTTCTGGTCAAACATAATGCGACAGAAACTTCTAGCCTGCAACATCCAGCAAATCAGATCTGTCCTTCACCCTGCAGAGCCTCTGGCAAAATCAAATACACAGGGTCTATCTGCCATGAACTGGAAACCTATCAAGCAGTGGATCAGCTAGCCATGCCGAAATCAATCCGTGGTGATACAGTCCACGATGGACTTGTGTAAAAGCATTTTTCACAAACAAACTGCGAATCTCTAGTGTCTGGAATTGCAATGACTGAGAACTAATTACTATGAATCGAACGTTTAGAAACCACACCAACCACATTGACAGCGCTCGACCAAATCTACTTCTGGTTGTGTTATTGAATCCTAAGCCACTGGAGCATATGCTTCAACATTCTACTTTTAACATCTTACTGCGGCGTTCGAAGTGTGATTCCATCATCTTGAAACGAAGCTGGAGTAAGGATGTTTCAAACCAATTTGTTTGCGTGGAAGCGTGCCTAAACGCAAGGAACCTGCAGTGTTTTACTTTGCGCAATGCTACTGACAAGCAGTCTGGTCCTGCGGGGCCCACTGCGCCGCCTGTCTAGCTTCGGAGGCTGCAAGAGCTGCGCGGATCGCTGCCGCGGCAGCAGCGGTGCGTCCAGCGAGAGTTGGTCTTGATGACATGGAAGTGTGCTCCTCCGCCTGCGCTTCCTGGAATCGATCTAGCTGATAGGCTGAAAGTCAAACTCCGGTCACTGCTGGCAAATTGTAGACAAACGTACCGCATGCAAGTTTCACACGCCAAAATGCGCACGGGGGCGATTTTTTTGGGTGCAATGGAGAATCCGCCGTATGGCGGGGGGTTCCTCAAACGCCCCAATCTTTGGGGCCGGAAAAGGCACTCTTGCACCTGCCGGTCCTGAGCTGGGCTGGAAGCCCACCCCTGGTCTCAATGAATGCAGTTGCTACTTTTTAACTGCGGTGGTAAATCCACCGCATGGCAGGGGTCCTCAAACGCCCCAAATCCTTCGCCCTCGAAATCTGTGACCTGCAAAAGTTCAAGTCTCCAGCCGCAGCGAGCTGGCGGTAATGTGGCACCCTTTTTAA